TCAGATCTCGATGGTCTTCTGTGGCCCTTTGCAGATCACTTTGGCCTCCTCCTTAAGGATGTCTGCGATCGTCTTTTGCAGAGCTTGGCCTTTGTCAGTGCTCTTTCTCGAAATTGTAATCAACAAGTCGCCACTTCTGGTCTTGTTGATCTTATCCGCAGTTGAACGAACCTGCTCATCTATGACGTCCTGCTTTATGCGACGCAGAATCTCGGCATATTTTATTTTCTCGGCCGGACGGATGATCAGTGCGTCAGGTCTGATCCATTTGCGTGGTTTTTTCCGCTTAGGCTCTGGTCTGGACTCCTTCGGCGGCTGCTTTGAGAGTTACTCTCTAGCTAGCCTTCTCTTCTTCTTAGACTGTACTTTTTCCCAGTCAGTCGTCTTCTTAGGTTCGTCGCCCTGCCCTGCCAGTCGTTGGAAAGGACTTTTTTTCAAGTCCTTCTTTGTGACTTTGTCGGTTGGCTCTGGCGAATCTCGGTCCTTTCTCTTTCCAGACCTTGTGTCAGTTTCACCCTTGTCCTCAGCAGCAGATTCACCGTCCCCGTCGGCTCCAGTGTCCATTGCTTCTTCCGTCTCAACTTCAGTTTCAATGTGTCGTCGTGATGATTGCCATTCCTCGTCCAGTTTCTTGAATCTTCCAAGAGCATTGACTACACCGGTTGTCTTGGTCTCTATCTCCTTGTGGATATTGACCTTAGTTTGGACAAACTCTTGCAGCTCAATGGTCAGCTTTTCAAGGCGCTCCAACGCTTGCGTTCTCTTCATTTCAGCGCTTGCTTCAATCACTGCTTGTTGGGCATGAAGCCCGTTTCTATTCTTGTTTGTTTCCTGTAAATTACTCATACTTTTTAATTTACCAGCGCATCGTACGGAGTGGAGCGGGTTGCCATAACTAGGAACGGGTGTACCCTCAGAGATAGTACTCCTACCCCAGTTCCCTGAGGTCTAGCCGACACTTAGCCAGTCCCGGAATACACGGACGGACTAGACTCGCTCGGAGCGGTGAAGATTCCGATCTTTAACACTCACTGCGTACTTCCTGATCAAGGCCCGAAGTGGCAGGCTCCTGATCCACTGCTGCAACTTACACCTCGGCAGAGCAAGCTCACATCAGCCGTGGCCTGCATCGTCGGAAACTACGATACAGGTTCCGGTCACTCCCAGTGGGTCACAGCAGAGAACGATCGTCTTGTTAGGTCAATTAGTATGACCAACACATTAAAAGGGACTTTTGTCCACGGGAGCGTATTTTGTTTGGTAATTTTGCTTGGCTCCTAGCCGCTGTACCTCATCAACTAAGAGATTAAGTGTCATCCAAGGACAGCGAGTGTCAACCCATCCGCTACGGGGAGACGCGCCTGGTAGCAGTTTCTCCTCTGCCGCAGGTGTGTGTGTGTGTGTGTGTGTGTGTGTGTGTAAATCTCTCATAACTTTTGAACGGCTTGACTGATTTGATTGCAGTTGGTGCCATTCGAAAGGGTGTGACTGGACTTAGATTTTGGATACAACTTGAACTGATAGATTTTGAGAAATCTTAAAAAAACTTCGAAAAAAATTTTTTTCAAATGAAGTTTTTTTTTGAATAACTTTCAAACGGTTTGACCGATCAATTCCAAAAACTAATCAGCTCTTAACATCGAAAAACCACGTCGATTGCTACCAAGCTGGTCAAAATCCGTTGATTTGTTCGTGAGTTATTGTTGACGAAAGAAATCGAAAAAAAAGTGTTTTTTTCGAATTACACCGAAATTTCCGGTCTGATCAATTTATGTTTAAAAATATATCATAGAATTTGAAAAACTGCGTCGAATACCGCCAACCGCGTGAAAATCGATTCATCCATTCAAAAGTTATTGCGGTTTGAAAACTCTGTTGCGTAAATACCACATGTTCGCGCCAGAACATGTAGGTGATGTCATCAATTGCTCGGTATGCAAATAATCTGTTAATCTCTAGGTTCTCTTCTCGTGTGCTCGTGTGAATGCTGATAAGTTCTGTTAGCGTCCAAACTTCTCTCTGTGCTCATCACTCGTATCATCGCTCGTAATAAATATTGTCGCGTCATCAATAGTGATTATTGCGACATAAATCAATTAATTAACTCGTGTAATAAATTCAACAATTGATATTGTTAATTCACATAATTATCATCGCTCAGAACAAATTTAATAAATATTGGCATTTGATGCCACGTGTATTAATAACTCATAATTCATATTTCTAATTCAATAATAATAACAGTACTCGTGTCCAAATAATTACATATTTAGATTAAATAATAATAACAATAATACTACTCATGTTTAAATAATTAATTAATTAAATTAAATTACTTTGTTAATAGATATTAAGAGTTCATGTGTTCAATAATTTTAAACTGTGATATTTTATATAATAAACGATAAAACACGAATTTAAGTGAACAAATAAATTCTTTCCAACATCGCGATCCAGCAAAAATAAAATTTAATGATAAGATAATTTACATTATGGTCCCTCGAGCCGGATCGGGTATTGGAAATCGCGTAAATTAATCACAGACTCGAAATCTATAGTGCTCTTGTGTTCAAGTTCTAATTAAAAAAAATAAATATTCAGGTTCAACAAACATGGTTGACAACACGAACCCGTCAACTACTCCTCCAGAGGATACTACCAAGGATGAGGTTCCAAGCCATTCAGGGACACCAGTCATCCAATTAACTCTTCCAGGAAGCGAACTCCCAATCACAGATCCTAACAAGAATAGAGATGACCGCAGCGACTCTGAAATCACTGATGCAGAGGCCTCTAAGGATCAAGTACTCACCTCGCATGATCCAAATAAGCGTGGACGCAAACGCTCTACTAAGGTTTGTGAAATTAATCTCAAGGTCAACGGACAATTGACGAGATTGAAGCTTATCTCTGACATTGAAGCCGTTGCTTCCTCACTCACCGTTGCTGAAGGACTGTCGTCACTCAAGGCTCGATTGGAGATTCTCACTCAAGAATGGCAACAGTTCTCACTCATCCTTGTCAGTTATCCACGACTACTTGTCAGTTAATGCCAATGAGGAGTTCCTTCAACATTCGTACATAAAGGACGGCACATTCGAAGTAGCGTACAGATCATACATAGGAGCTCGCAGAGTCTTGGCTACACTCATCCACCAGCTTGATGTTCCAGGCTCCACCTGCTCCAGTTCTACCAACGACATCACGCATTCAACACAGTGTCTCTTTACCGCCACTGAACATCACTTATTTCTCTGGTGATTATGACAAGTGGCCAGAGTTCAGAGACATGTTCACATCAATAGTAATCAACCGTGAAGGCCTTTAGAACATTGAGCGCCTACACTATCTCAAGACCTACCTTTTAGGTCAAGCAGCCCAACTCATTGCTAGCATACCGATGTGCAATGAAAACTTTGCAACTGCATGGTCTGCAATCCGGAAAAGATATGATGTTCCTCGATTAGAGATAAGATAATTTACAAACTCAAAAGATAGTGTTTTATTAAACTGCTATCAGACTTTTGAACTCGGAGAGCTCAAAACTACACGGAAATTATATTTTTGAGCTCGAAGAGCTCAAAAACATAATAAGTACAATTTTGAGTTCTTAATTACGAAAGTAGCGGGAAGTTGCAGGGATGGTCTTTAGGGTCAACCGTTTTCCTAATTTTTTTAATTTATTTCTTCGATATTTATATTATTTGATGCGATTTCTATTGGTATTGTTGTGACCAAAGCATAATAATTACTAAAATATGCAATATAAGTTCGTGTTTTAACACTATCTAAATATCTTTTAAAAATAGCATCTATTATCGTTCCTGAATTTCTAGTTGGTGTGTTTGGATTATTATACATCAATTATTGATGTGTTGCCATCTAAAGTTCTAATATTTATCTACTAAATGAATACATCAACTAATAGTGTGTATTTTTTCTCGATCTCCCTTACTCTATTGACGCCATGCACTCCACCCTTTTTTTAAAATAAGATACATTTTTTTCTTATTTACACTATTATTAATTTATGTTTATTAAAATTTTTTACATTATTCTTAATTCAAATTTATTAACATTTATTTTCTATTTTTTAATTTGGTTTTCTATATAACGCGTATTTTTTAGTTTTTTTTAAACTATTATTTATTCTTTCCTTACTAGGAATTATTTCTATTAATTCAACAGTGATTTAAAAATTATTTCTTTTCTTAATGCTAATTCTATTGTGTTAAACCATAATAATATTTAAGAGCAGTGCACCTACAATCTAAAATACAACGCATGTGCACGTGAAAATAACATTTCTATAGTGTAAAAGTATAGTATTCCTTTATAACTTTATCTTTTTCTCTCCGACTACGTTTATACATGCGTCCTTTAATGTGATGCTCATATTATGATTATTGTGACACTCATATTATGATTATTCTGACGCTCACATTATGATTATTGTGACGCTCATATTATTATTATTGTGACGCGACCTTGAAATTTTACCCTCAGCGCGCGCAAAGAAGTTTCACTTCAAAAAATATTTGACAAAATGGCGCGTAGTTAAAAGTACGAATCTGAAACTCGTTCTCAAAAAATAATTTTAGCTACGCACCATTTTGTCAAATGTTTTTTTTTTTTTTTTTTTTTCATTCTAGTTCCTGCGATAACTATACTTACACTTATGAAATATCCGTCATTTTTTTTTATTTCGGTTCAGAGGGAGAGATTAATAACACCCTACCAGTGAGGTCCATTTTTTTGAGAGGGGAATTTCAGCGCCATTTTTCTAATTAAAAAAATTTTTTTTTCTTGTCTTAATTTTCATTCTTGTGTAGTTGATAAGTAATAGAATAAGTGTAGAAAAAATTTGAAAGCATTAGTCATTACCTTCATATATCGATAAAATTTAAAAAATAGCTTAAGTTTTAGGCTGCTAGACTACCGGGTTCCCTTAATGAATTATTTTCAATACTTCTTTATTAATTAATGATGCTTTTTCAGACATAAATGATAGAAGTGACAAAGAAGATAAGAATGATGATAATTTTTGGGAAACAGAGTCTGACTCAAGTGATACTTTTTCATATAATGAAAATTATAGCTACAGTTCACATGAGGAATACAGTGACTCTGACCAAGAAAGTGATGATGACGAAATTAATCAAAATGGAGATGATAATAATATTAATAATGGACATTTGAACTCACCTATTTATGAAGGAGCACCTCTCACTCTCTTGGTGAAAGTACTCTTTCAATTTCAACGTTAATTTTACGCCACAAAATAAATGCATCACTTTTTAACGACATCTTAAAAAAAAAACGCCATTCGGCCATACCCGACATGGATAGGTAGATTTCTTAGATGAATATTGAAAAAAATACGTAATTTAAAAACAAAATACTAGAATAATTTTTTTTTATTCTCAGGGTGAATCTTTGTTTTATAACTCTAAAAGTTTCATGCATTTAATATTATATTGTTCAGCAAAAGATGACATATTTTATGAATGATATCCATCGCTATGTCGAGCAAGTAAAGTTCACTTGTACTTAAATTTTGTGTATCGTTGATAACAGCTTGATCTGAGCTATTATTGTTTAAATTAATTTTACAAGTATTGAAAAAATTTTTAAAAAAAATTAATCAACTATTTAATATTTAACATTTTATTTCCATGACAGCAACAATAATAACAATCATGACAACTAATAATAAATAATAATGATTCATAACAACTTTTATTACGGTCAATTTTTAATCATTCATCTTCTTTTAATTAATTTTATTTTTGATCATTTATTAATTAGTTCAGTATTTTTTTTTGTTTGAGTATTCCATCGTTAAGATCCAAGGATGACTTAGTTAATAATTTCCTGAAACACAAGATAACAGAAAGGACAGTACATCTTCTTAATAAAATACTTATGAATATTAATTTATTTTTTTATTCATAATTATTTTTTTCATCTGTATAATTTTATTTCCTTCATTATCATTATTTCAAGTATTCTCCAATAGTCTTAAAAACATTTTCTCTTTGTTTATTACTTTCATTATTTCAATTTCTCATTATCTCTCTTAGTTTTAGTTTGATCAAATAAATATTTTTTTGTCGTTCCATTGTAATTAAATAATAAAAAAAATATCTACTATAATTATATATTATTAATGATAAGATTACCTTATTAAGTATTTATTCTTCATTTTCCGATTCAAGTTCAATTTCAAAATTAGGCATATTTATGAAGTCATCAAGTCCTATTATCTTTATAATTTTCAAATTCCTTATGTTATTAATTTCAAATCTGAATTCATTTATGAGAGGATCATTTTTTCCTCCTAAAGCAAATAGGGATCATTATAGTTTCAGATGGATCTCTAGGAAGTATATTTACAGAACTTCCAACATCAGTTGGTACATTAACAGCTCGTCCTTGAACAAAATATTGACCGTCACTTGTAGCTGCTTTAATTACCATAAAGGGTATGCGGGGGCATAAAAATCTCTCTTCTAAATCAGTCAATTTAATAATTTCGTTGGGTATTTTTGGGAACATCAATTGTTTATTATGCATTGACAAAATTGGAATTTTGTTATTTTTAATAGATGTTTGACAAGTTTTACACAAATAACCAACTGTAAGATTATCCACCATTTGACAAGTGGATTTCAAAAATGCGAAACATACTTTTTAAATCGTTTCTTAAGAAAAATTTTACTGATGACTTAAACCACAGACGACAACAAGATGAACATGTGTACGTCGGACCTTCCAGCTTTAGTAAATTAAATTTTTCAAAAATAATAGCGCGTTGTCGTTCTTTATGATCTTCTTTACTCCTCAACTTATTACTTTTAACACGATCCGTGTATAATACTCTTTGTTCTTCATTTTTCAAACGCTGAATTTGACATATTTTTAATCTATTTCTATGGATTGTTCTGTTTTCATGATCGAGTAATCTTTTTGCTTGACAACTTATATTCTTTTGATTATGAATAAATTTCTTATCCGGATCGGTTAATTTTTTCTTTTGATATTCTTTACATTTTTTATTATGAATTATATTTCGTTTTGCATCACACAGTCTATTTTTTTGACATTGTTTGTTTGTTTGATTATGCATTGCTTTTTTTTCTTCATTAAGCAAACGTTTTTTTTTGACAACTTTTATTCATCCGAGAGTGAGCAGTTTTTAACTTTTGATCGAGCAGACGATTGCTTTGTGATACCTGAAGTCTTAATTTATGGATTTTTTGCTGGTTTTCATCATTTAATCGTTTTTTCTGACATTCTTTGAGTCTACGAAGATGAATTTGTTTTTGAGTATAGTTAAGCAATCTTTTTTCCTGTGATAATTTTAGTCTTTTTCGATGGATATCTAATTCAACTGGATCTAGCTACTGTGCCAATTAGCAATTCTTACGGACTAGCTTTAATAACTCGATTAGTAGTGCAACTAATTTCTAATTGAACTTCGTTTACAACTGCTTGCTAAGAGTTTTCACTCATTTCGGCTGCAGTAAACATACTTTTAGGGTACTCATTACGCATTCTACCTGGCCATTAGCCCGACTTGAACCCGTAGCTATAAGGTGTAATTTTGAGTTTTGTGAGGTACAATACTCTTGAAATTCTTTACTTGTGAAATATCTACCTTAATCCGCAACAATACGGGTTGGTGGGCCAAACAATGATATAGCATTGTAGATGAGGGGATATAATAGAGGGGGGATGTATGGGACTAGATGATTGGTGTTAACAATATTACTACTCATCACGAGTATGAATTTTCTTAACGACTAAATTTAAATTATTTTTATTGTTGTGTTGTAATGAAAAAGGTAGTTATTTTAGCTGTCACAACCGGTCTGAACATATTTTCCGTTTCAGGCATGACCTATTCATGTACGTACATACATGGCCGTGTCTAAATTCAGGCCTCATTATCCATGAACAAGCTTGATTATCTTTAATATCAGATCAGATCATCTTTTCCGCTGTTTCTATCACAATAAATAATGGCTCATGACATTGATAATTAAACTGGAATAAAAATGCATAGATAGCTGAATTATAGCGTAACAAATTTAAAAATGGAGTTTTCGTCTTAGGCGGACATATGGGGGTTTTTACGAGCAGACGACACTCAATTTGTAAATAATACGCGTACGCTCCAGTATCTACTGGGCTGTATAGAACTTTATACAGTCGAGGACAATGTCACGCAAACGTCACCAATCTCTATACAGCCGAGTAGCTTACGTTTCAACTGTCATTTTAAATTAAGAAGAGCACCTTTGACTAACTTCAAGATTTTTCATGTATTTTTATTTAGAGGATTAGAGAGTTATGGCGTCGTACGCTATTTATTTATATATTGAGTATCCCCTGCACGTAAAAACCCGCATACGTCCGCTATAGGACGAAATAGTATTTTTCTTATCTAGGGCAGGAAAATAAGAAATGTCTCAGATTACGTGTAATTGTTGACCGAGAAAAAGCCGAGGTCGACAAACATGTGATCTGAGGCTTTCTTATTTCCTGCCCGAGGTGAGAATACTATTTTTTTCTCCTCGACGGAGGCGGAAAGCTGCATTTTCGTTTAGCGCAGCGGGCGGAAAATTGACGCTTTTCGCACGGAGGGGAGAAAAATTTTTGAAGCACCATGGGCAAGCCACGCGCAAATACGATCTCGGCGATAATTATTTGCAGCAGGGATATAAAGCCTCGGCCCTATCGGGCCTCGGCCTTATACTATCCCTGTTGAAAATATTTATCACCTCGACCGTATTGGCGCGTGACTCGCCCAAGGTACATAAATAACTATTTTTGACCTTATTTTTTGTAATTATTCAAACTATGCTTTAATGCATAACTAACTAGTTGAAGTAACTATTGCACGGGTTATATCTAAATAAATATTTTTCTGTCATCGCGTATTGACGTTCGATATTATAATAAACTATAGGTATAAAAGCCATTTTTTTCTTTCAATTAAATAAATACAATATTTTTGTTTAAAGAGTGATGACAGTGACGATGAGAATATTGCCATCGTTAATCCTTCTGCCGCTGAAATTACTTCGATGCCAATTATTTTCACCAATTTATCCACTGACATATCATTACAAGAGGAAGTCGTTGCATATGATGAATATTCTCAGATCATGGAGAGTGATAATATTGGCTGTTTCGAAGGAAATGTTGACAATGAAAATACTTCAACGGAAACAACGATTGAAATTCAAGATCAATTGCAAGCTGCTGTGAAGTCAATTATCACTTCTTCTGAGATTTCTCTTAAAATGAGTCATATCATCGAAGAAAATGAGAAATTATTAACGAATTTTTTCAAGAACATTCCCAACCATGAAGGGGACGATGAAAATGATAACAGTACTGTCACTATCGATTCCTTGTTGGAATTACACAAGGTAAATAAGACCGGTGTATAAAAAAAGTACTCTGTATCTTTGATCAGATATCGTAAAAATCAAAATTTCTGCGACTTTTTTTTATATAAAATATTTAATTTTTTCTTCTTAACGATTTTTCAGTAATTTTAAATCAATAGAAATTAAAAATAACTATTAAGATATTTAGAGGAACTGTTTTATTAAAGTTTGCTAACAATTATAAGTTAATACATTACATAGAAAACGAATTAGAAATGTTTTGCTGAGTAGGGTCCACTGGGCCTCGTGTGTCCTCAGCGTCATTTTTTCGAGGTGTGTCCTCAACGGGTTAACTTTAAATGTATCTCGTGAAAGGTCCAGAGCATTTTTTCGTCAGACTGTTCAAATTATTAAAATAAGACAAAAAATCTTTTCCAGATTTACAAATGAATTTTCTAGAATTTTATCCTGTTTTAATGACTCAAAAGATGTATTTTCATAAAATTTTACTTTGACACTTAATTGATTGGTTACGAGAATTAATTTGAAGTCATTACCTCACTGCTAAATGCACGCGAAATATACATATATAATAGGATGTGCCAAAATGTAACTTCCGTGAAGAACCTTTTAAAATTGAAATTTTGAGTTCCGCTTCTAACACAACAGCTGTGTTTTGGCATTTTCTAAGTTATTTTGAGGTGAGAAGATAAATTTGATCTTCATAGAATTTTTTAGCAGGAGATTAAATTGAGCACTTTCGGCCAAATTTTGAATTTTTAGCAAAAGTGCCCAAACTAAGCTCCTGTTAAAAAATTCTCTAAAAATCAAATTTATCGTCTCATCTCAAAATATCTCAGGAAATGCCTAAACACAGCTGCTTTTAAAAGCGGAACTCAAAATTGCAATTTTAAAAGGTTTTTCACAGAAGTTACATTTTGGCACACCCTAACATATGTATATAAAATTCCTTTCGAAGTTAATTTTCGGTATTACTTTTCGGGTATCATTTTTTTGTCGCTACCCAAGATTGTATTTGAAAATAGTTAAAATTTTATTGATTTCCGATAGGCGAAACTTGGATCCGGCGATGAAAACTTATTTTCAACTAATGTTGGGATGACTGTAAGAGTTACGGATTTAAAGAGGCTTATCCCACCAAATGAATTAAATGATGAAGTAAGTAATAATTTTTATGTCGTTATTATTAAAAATTATTTATGTATATAATTATCATTGAAACCAGTAGAATTATAAAAGAGCAAGTGTTATGTAGTGACGAAAAAATAACACATACGAGAGGGTGAAATTCACACACACATACACGCCAACATACTCACGCGCGCGCGCGCGCACTCACGCACACACAGATATAGTGATATCCTCACTCGACATAGCGAAAGCTGATCTTCTGATTTAGGCTGGATTTAGCTAGTTACTGACCAAAAACTCGATTTCATTTCTACTAGGGTATCTTTTGCTGGTGTACGCCCTTACAGCTGTTTTTATGGTGATATCAGTGAACTGAGGCACATCATTGCAAATGTGAATAATTCCATTCATTTAATTACAAATAGTACACGGAAAAAAGTAAACTGTAATATTCATTGGGATTCCAGTTAATTTTAATAGTTTCAAATAGTAAAGCGTACATCGGGTGGAAAAAATATAAATATTACATTAGTTAATGTAGAAAGTATAAAAGCCACAATTTATTATTTAATATCCAAAATAAGTGATTAGTAGCTGTCACTGTAGTAAATAACGACTTTTTCATCTTAAAAAATTACAGTTTAAAACAGTAAAAATTGCCATTTCAAAATATATAGTCTATATTATTAGGAGAAGGGGAACTCAGATGAGGAGATGGGTGTCTCACTCTCGGAGAATTTAACATTTTAAACAATAAAAAAATAAAAATTATAATGTTAAGAGCTGATAAGTTTTTGAAATCGATCGGTAGAGCTGTTTGAAAGTTATTCCAAAAATTGTCGGAGTTATGTTGAAAAAATCCTTATTTCCAAATATTTCGTCGAGGATATCTCTCGAACTAATCAACCGATTTCTACGTTTTTGGCGGCGATCGACGCGGTTTTTTAAGCTCTAAAATTATTTTATATCATCAAAAACGATCCGAGAACAAATGACGAAGTTATGTGAAAAAAACCCTTTTTTCGGTTTTCTTTCGTTCACGCTATCTCTTGAACGAATCAACCGATTTTGACCGGCTTGGT